GTGTGTGTGTGTGTGTGAGTGTGCGTGTGTGTGTGCGTCTGTCCGGATATTTCAACTCGGCAACCAAGCAAGTACCGCTCGCAGGTAGAAACCGTTTTCCTAAAATTTTAGCTTCTTAGTTTTTCTGGCTCGTGAATTGAAAACCTGGGACAAAACGCACTGGAAAGATATGCACAACACAAAGACCTTCAAGACAGTAACAATATGCGTTTTGTGCTACTGTTGCAACACAAAACGCAAGAAAACTACACCGAAGAAAGGCATGAATTCAAGAAAAACGTGCAATTTTCGGCAACCGCTATAACAGGTTAGAAACAAGAAACTTTAAACATAGCTTACACATAAGCAACAGATGAGAAGTAAGAAGAAGGTCTGCGCAATTCCAGCAATTCCCACTAGCCAAAAGAGGCGAATGAACATTGTTACGCCAAGGATGTGTTGAATTGTTGGCAAATAGACGCCCAACATAACACCCAGTTCAGCCTGAAAAACAGAACATTGCAGAAGACCAGCCTAACTCCAATTTTTAAAACTGACCAGATTTGGAATGAAAGATAAATTAGGCAGTCATGAGACAATAATGAGCAAAAATTAGCCGTTTCAACTTTACAGACGATGAAAAAATAACTAACACAGCCCGGAATAAGTTTCGGATCAGCAAAAAACACTGAAAACACTGGCAAGTCTGAAAAGCTTTACCATGTCAGACAAAATAAGCAGGAAAGTTTTAGATGCGTACGCCGGGAGGAATTTTTTATCAGAGTTTGACAAAGTGCAAATTTATAGAATCATTCTGAAAATCGAGTCATGCGGATTCAGGGCACTAAGAATAAACACTTTTATTAAAATTAACCACTATTAGAAAGTCGTCTCGACGAAAGGGCAACTTTGCTTGGTATATTCAGTTTTACAAGAGCACTTTCAAAAAAAAACATGTGGTCATCGCTGAATTCATGCTTTTATCTTGAATAGAGAAAAAAAAGAAAAAATCCAAGGCTCTAAGGTCTTTAATCCTTCGGAGCTAATTATTAAAAATATCAGCACAAAATATCCCCCACGCTTTCAGTCAGCTTTGATTACCATATATCTCGATTTGCAAATCCCAAAAATTTTGGCACTTTCGTAAAGGCAAAAGTGTTGTAACAAATTTTGCAACCTGCGTTTCTCCTAAGTAAAAGTAGTACTGAGAGCACCAACCTTTGCGTGTTTACTTTCCTCCCGCTCAAGAGGCCCAGGTGTCGTATAGCCTTTGAGGTAGGAGCTAACAAAAGGCACACTTGGCTCTTCAAATAATGCCAAGTTATTCCCACCGATGCTTTTCCTTGCTTTAAACGAACCCCACGAAAGCGAAAAGCGGCGTGAATCATCTGAAACATTGTAATTCAGTAAACTGTTACCACAAAAATGCTTTTGCTTGGAACTAGGAAAACAGTCAAAAATATGAAAATTAAAAGTGAATAATAGAACACAGCACTATCTTTCTTGTGTCTGCACGCAACTGTGGGTAAATTAACTTCAGGATTAAGAAAAACCAGAGGACTAGATCACCTATAGGAAGAGCCACAAACCAGAAAAAAAGTAAATTTATGTTCTGTAATGTTGGAGCACTTAATCTCAGGTTCATATCCAAAAATTTTATAACTGAAAAGCCAAAAGAATTAAAAAGTAAAAATTTGAGCGAATTTTTCACCAAATTAATCGGAATCCATGGCCCGAAACTAACTGTTAAATCATTTTGTTCTGTGAGTACTTTTTTAAAATCTAACTCTACACAATTTCGCAACTTCAAAGCGAAACAAGTCAAAAATTGGAAAATTTAAAATTTAGCTCACGCATGAGGCGAGAAACTCTTGAATTTTTACATTTTTTGCCCAGTGGCGGAATTGGAAGGATTTATGTCACAGATTAGTTTTTGAATGAACCCTAGTTCTGAAAATTTGCCGCTTCTTTGCTGCGTCAGTGAAAAAAAAAAGACTATTACAAAATATCGACTGGTGCACTGATTACTGGGCACCCGGAACAGCTATCTAAAAAGCGCGCAACTGTTCCTGCCCTCGCTGCAGACCACAATTTATCTTTTTCAAACTTAGCATCTTTCAGGGGTGTGCAACTGCTCCTTTTGTAGAAGCTAGACGTGAACCAGTGACAATTTTTGACACGGTCAATGTAAATATGAATTAAATACAGGTTTTGCTTAAGCAAACTACTTTTCTCGAGCTAAAATCATCACACAGAGAAACAGTCTCACTAAAAATTCGAAAATTCTTCAAAATACTGTTCGTTAGGACTTATACTGCATCGCGCTTCAAGTTTCATTGGCTCCACTTTCGAGTATTTCAAGCTAGTAACTCCTGACCTAATAGAGTTTATCGGAGCCATTTTCTATAAAATTAATTTTTTGTACTGCCACTTTCCGAAATGCAGTACGAATAGGATCATGAGGTAACCTTAGTTCTCCAAGTAGCAAGAAATTCATTCCAAGTCATCTAAATATCTATTTTTTTCCGGCAGAACGGGAATGCCTTTTGACTGTCACTTGCGGGTCAGCTTAAAGCCATAAGAGTTTGACCGAACAAAACGCGATTTAGTGTCTTCACACTAAACGCCATTCTACAGATTGCGTAGCACCAGCCAGATCCTTTTCGTTTCCGAATGAATGAATGAGGTCAAAATATAATACAGAATCAGTGTCTATTCAGCTTTTCGATGGATCATTTAGAGAAAGTGAATGTAGCTGGACCTTCTCTGTCGAGTCCGATTGCAACACTATCACGACGACTGCCTTTTCCATCCTCTGTTACTGGTGCCTCGCGTTCGCTGCAATATAACTGACTATTGCAATAATGCCGGTAAAACACGAGTGCATTGTAGGATGATTTGCAAGGTCCTTCGCTCAATCATAAGCGAATGCTAAGCAAACCCAGGCCGGAACGTACCAGGCGAGAGTGCGATCATGAGTTTTTGCACCAAACTTGAAGTAATTAGGTTAACTGTATGAACGATTTCTTCATACCTACCTTGTGCGCTCAATACCGTAAATCATCGTAAATTTTGCATAAAAGGAAATAAACAATGTCCATTTAGCGGTCATTTTTTGCAAATGACCCAACTGCTCAGTGAGTAATTTTTCCACCAAAAATTAAGTGCTCGTACACGAGAGCCATGCCGACGTGGAGGCTGAATTTGAAACCTTCAAGCTGTATTTGGACGGGAAATATTCTCCTAAAATCTCAGCTTGTCAGCTTTTCTAGTTCCTAAGTTAGCGATTTCCCCGCCAAGACTTTCACAGGACCGCACATGACCTGGGAACGCACCCGGGGGTTGGGTTTGCAATCTTTAAGTTGTATGTAGGCTGGGAACTTCCTTTTAAAATTTCAGCCTTCCAGCTTTCCTGCTTCCAACTTAGCCATTCTCCCGCCAAAAAAGTTTCACGAGCGGTACGTGAGGAACACGTACGACTGGGGCTAAGCTTGATAGGTATATGCAGTACTTGTGCTGGAAACATTCCTTGAAAATTTCAGCCTCCCAGCTTTCCTGGTTCCCAAGTTAGCGATTTTCACATCAGGACCCGCACGTGGCTGCACGCGGGAACTGTACATACCCGGGACTGAATTTGAAAACTTTGAGTTCTATGCGAACGGAGAACATAATCTCAAAATTTTAGCTTTCTAGCTTTCCCCGTTCCCGAGTCAGCAATTTTCCCGCCAAAACTTTCACCCCCTCGAACGCGGGGCCCAGATTTGCGTAAGGATTGGTGCTGCGGTTCTGGGGTGGCACAAGGCCGTTTGGCGCCGGAACTTGCCTGCCTGCCAAGTTGAAATACCTGGACAGACGAACACACACACACATACACGCAGACAGGGTGGCCGCAATATGCGTTTTTGCGTATATGCAAATTGCAAAACGCATATTGGGAAGAGGCTGTCTGTGTGTGTGTCTGTGTTTTCGCACTTT